CACCTGGGGGGAGCTGGGCGCACCTGGGGGTTGTACAAACGCTCCTGTGAGTTACCTGTGTGCACCTGGGGTGAGCTTGGCATTTACCTGGGCACACCTGGGGGGGGCTGGGCACACCTGGGGGGCACCTGGGGGTTACCTAGGGGTTACCTGCGGCTCATTTTGGGCTTACCTGTGCACACCTGTGCACACCTGTGCTCACCTGTGCTCACCTGGGCAGGACTCGGTGCGGCTGCTGGCAGTCGAGGCCTGCACATGGACGGGGGGGTCACCTTGGGGTCACCTGGGGGTTACCTGTGGCTCATTTTGGGCTCACCTGTGCACACCTGTGCACACCTGTGCTCACCTGTGCTCACCTGTGCTCACCTGGGCAGGACTCGGTGAGGCTGCTGGCGGTCGAGGCCTGCACATGGATGGGGGGGGTCACCTGGGGGTCACCTGGGGGTTACCTGGGGGTTGCCTGCGGCTCATTTTGGGCTTACCTGTGCTCACCTGTGCTCACCTGTGCTCACCTGTGCTCACCTGTGCTCACCTGGGCAGGACTCGGTGCGGCTGCTGGCGGTCGAGGCCTGCACATGGACGGGGGGGGTCACCTGGGGGTCACCTGGGGGTTACCTGCGGCTCACCTGTGCTCACCTGTGCACACCTGTGCTCACCTGGGCAGGACTCGGTGCGGCTGCTGGCGGTCGAGGCCTGCGTGAGCATCGCGCAGCTGCTGCCGCAGGAGGAGCTGGAGGGGCTGGTGATGCCCACGCTGCGCCAGGCGGCCGAGGACAAGTCCTGGCGCGTGCGCTACATGGTGGCCGACAAGTTCACCGAGGTGGGCGGCGCACCTGGGCACACCTGGGCACACCTGGGCGCACCTGGGAGGGGAGAAACGGAAAAAATTCGGTGAAAATCGGGTGAAAAATGGGGATTTTGGGTCACCTGGGAGCACCTGGGAGCACCTGGGGGCACCTGGGAGGGGAGAAGCAAAAAAAATCTGGTGAAAATCGGGTGAAAAATGGGGATTTTGGGTCACCTGGGCGCACCTGGGCACACATGGGAGGGGAGAAACGGAAAAAATTCGGTGAAAATCGGGTGAAAAATGGGGATTTTGGGTCACCTGGGCACACCTGGGAGGGGGGAAATGAAAAAATTCGGTGAAAATCGGGTGAAAAATGGGGATTTTGGGTCACCTGGGCACACCTGAGCTCACCTGGGCACACCTGGGAGCACCTGGGGGCACCTGGGGATGGGTTTTGGGGAGGTTTGGGGCATTTTGGGAAGCCTGGGAGATGTTTGGGGGCACACCTGGGCACACCTGGGCGTACCTGGGCACACCTGGACACACCTGGGCACACCTGGGGATGGGTTTTGGGGAGGTTTGGGATGAGTTTTGGAGGTTTGGGGCATTTTGGGAAGCCTGGGAGATGTTTGGGGGCACACCTGGGCACACCTGGGCACACCTGGACACACCTGGGTGTACCTGGACACACCTGGGCACACCTGGGGATGGGTTTTGGGGAGGTTTGGGTCATTTTGGAAAGCCTGGGAGATGTTTGTGGACACACCTGGGCACACCTGGACACACCTGGGGATGGGTTTCGGGGAGGTTTGGGATGAGTTTTGGGAGTTTGGGTCATTTTGGGAAGCCTGGGAGATGTTTGGGGGCACACCTGGGCACACCTGAGCTCACCTGAGCTCACCTGGGCACACCTGGACGCACCTGGGGATGGGTTTTGGGGAGGTTTGGGTCATTTTGGGAAGCCTGGGAGATGTTTGTGGGCACACCTGGGCACACCTGGACACACCTGAGCTCACCTGGGCACACCTGGGCGCACCTGGGCACACCTGGGCACACCTGGACGCACCTGGGCCGCGTCCCCGCAGCTGCAGCGCGCCGTGGGCCCCGAGATCACCAAGACCGACCTGGTGGGCGCCTTCCAGAGCCTGATGAAGGACTGCGAGGCCGAGGTCCGGGCGGCCGCCTCGCACAAGGTCAAAGGTCAGCGGCCCCCCCCCGAGCCCTCCCCGGGGTCACCGACCCGGCCTTGGTGTCACCAACCCAACGTTGGTGTCACCAACCCAACCTTGGTGTCATCAACCCAACCTTGGTGTCACCAACCCAACCTTGGTGTCACCAACCCGGCCTTGGTGTCCCCAACCCAACTTTGATGTTCTTCAACCCAACCTCGGTGTCCCCGACCCGGCCTTGGTGTCACCAGCCCAACCGTGGTGTCACCAACCCAACCTTGGTGTTCTTCATCCCAACTTTGGTGTCCCCAACCCAACCTTGGTGTCCCCAACCCAACCTTGATGTTTTTCATCCCAACTCTGATGTTCTTCAACCTGAAATTTGTTGTCCCCAACCCCACTGTGATGTTCCTCATCCCAGCTTTGGTGTCCCCAACCCAACTTCAATGTCACTAACCCAATCTTGATGTTCTTCAACCCAACTTTGGTGTCCCCAACCCATTCTTGATGTCCTTCAACCGAAATTTGGTGTCCCCAAGCCAACCTTGATGTCCTCAACCCATCCTTGATGTTCTTCACCCCGACTTTGGTGTCCCCAACCCAACTTTGGTGTTTTTCATCCCAACTTTGGTGTTCTTCAACCCAACTTTGATGTCCCCAACCCAATTTTGATGTCCCCAACCCCAGTCTGATGTTCTTCATCCCAACCTTGGTGTCCCCAACCCAACTTTGGTGTTTTTCATCCCAACTTTGATGTCCTTCAACCCAATTTTGATGTCCCCAACCCAATTTTGATGTCCCCAACCCAANGTCCCCAACCCAACTTTGGTGTTTTTCATCCCAACTTTGATGTCCTTCAACCCAATTTTGATGTCCCCAACCCAATTTTGATGTCCCCAACCCAATGTTGGTGTCCCCAACCCAACTTTGGTGTTTTTCACCCCAAAATTTGGTGTCCCCAACCCCACTGTGATGTTCTTCATGCCCACCTCGGTGTCCCCAGAGTTCTGCGAGAACCTGTCCCCGGACTGCCGCGAGGCCGTCATCATGGGCCAGATCCTGCCCTGCATCAAGGTGAGCGCCCGGGGCACCTGGGCACACCTGGGCACACCTGGGCACACCTGGGCACACCTGGGGACATTTTGGAGTGGTGGGACACACCTGGGCACACCTGGGGACACCTTGTGGGCACACCTGGTGTGGTGGGACCCACCTGGGCACACCTTGGGGGCACACCTGGGCACATTTTGGAGTGGTGGGACCCACCTGGGCACACCTTGGGGGCACACCTGGGCACATTTTGGAGTGGTGGGACACACCTGGGGACACCTGGGGCACACCTGGTGTGGTGGGACCCACCTGGGCACACCTTGGGGGCACACCTGGGGACATTTTGGGGTGGTGGGACACACCTGGGACACATCTGGGCACACCTTGTGGGCACACCTGGGCACACTTTGGGGTGGTGGGACACACCTGGGCACACCTTGTGGGCACACCTGGGCACACTTTGGGGTGGTGGGACTCACCTGGAACACACCTGGGCACACCTGGGGCACACCTGGGCACACTTTGGGGTGGTGGGACCCACCTGGGGACACCTGGGGCACACCTGGTGTGGTGGGACCCACCTGGGCACACCTTGGGGGCACACCTGGGCACATTTTGGGGTGGTGGGACACACCTGGGCACACCTGGGCACACCTGGGCACATTTTGGGGTGGTGGAACACACCTGGGGACATCTTGGGGGCACACCTGGGCACAATTTGGGGTGGTGGGACACACCTGGGCACACCTTGTGGGCACACCTGGGCACAATTTGGAGTGGTGGGACACACCTGGGCACACCTTGTGGGCACACCTGGGCACAATTTGGAGTGGTGGGACACACCTGGGGACACCTGGAACACACCTGGGGCACACCTGGGCACACTTTGGGGTGGTGGGACCCACCTGGGGACACCTGGGGCACACCTGGGCACACTTTGGGGTGGTGGGACCCACCTGGGACACACCTGGGGACACCTTGTGGGCACACCTGGGCACACCTGGTGTGGTGGCACCCACCTGGGACACACCTGGGGACACCTTGTGGGCACACCTGGGGACTTTTTGGGGTGGTGGCACCCACCTGGGGCACACCTGGGCACACCTGGTGTGGTGGCACCCACCTGGGGCACACCTGGGCACACCTTGGGGTACATGGGGCACACCTGGGGACACCTCTGGTGGCCTCGGGGGCACCGTGATCGTCCGCCCCGAGGCCAGGTGAGCTCACCTGTGCCCACCTGTGCCCACCTGTGCCCACCTGGGCAGGAGCTGGTGTCGGACGCCAACCAGCACGTGAAGTCGGCGCTGGCCTCGGTGATCATGGGGCTGTCGCCCATCCTGGGCAAGGACAACACGGTGGAGCACCTGCTGCCCCT